CCCCACAACAGCCCAGAGCCCATGCTCCCTGCAGCACCTCCCTGCCACTATCAGCAGTGAACAGCCCCAGTCCCACCCTACACCTATTCTGGACTCAACCCCATTGGAGCAGATCAGTGGGAACTGGGCACAGCCCTGACCTGGCCTACCCCACGCTGCCCACCCATGGCATGTCCTGCCACCCCCTGGGCACACAGCAGGGCTGGGGCAGCTTTGCAGCTTGACTGCCTTTCTAGGCACCCCAGGCGGGGGTGGTTCCTTCCAGCTGCCGCTGCCTGCCCCGGCCCACAGTACCAGTGGGGACCCACACTGCACATCCCTGACCCCACGCACCCTGCACCTGCTCTGGGTTTGCCCATCCAGGCTCAGCATTAGCAGCGTACCCATGCTATAGGAGGGGGAAAGGCAACCATCCCCCTCCTGTTGTTGGCATTTCCCTGCTGCAGCCACCTGGAATCCATGCACAACTGCCCTGTGTCTGCTCTACAGTGCTACCACTTCCCTGTGGGGCAGCCCGGAGATGGCAGTGACAGCGGCGTAGATGCAGAGCAGACTTGTACGGGCTCCAAGCGGCTGCAGCAGGGAACTGCTGGCAGCAGGAGGGGGAGAGACCAGTGCCACTTTCCCCTTGCACTAAGCAACAGCCTCTGTCTCATGCTGCCTCTACTGAACCTGGGCAGGTGAGCCTGGAGAAGGCACAGGTGCATGGGGTCGGGGCTGTGCATCTCAAGTCCCTGCCAGTACCACAGATCTGGGGCCGGCAGCAGCTGGAAGAAGCCACCTGCAACCTGGGCTGCCTACAAAGCCCTGCTGCATGCCCAGGGGTTGGCAGGACGTGCTACAGATGGACTGTGCCTGGGCCAGGCACAACTGAGGGACCTGCTACAGGCTGGATCTGGCCTGCTGGCCATATTTTGCCCATCCCTGCTCTAAATGGAGTAGACCCCATTATCAATAAGAGATAAAAATGGGAGCTTACTGTGCTCCTTATTTAGCCTTCTTAACAGTAAATAGTCTGAAACCTGTTCAGTCACCTGTAAAGAAACTGCTGAAAAATCAGTAGCTGAGCTACGCAAAGGGGTCTACAAATGATAGACTTCCTCCCCTTCTGTACCCTCTCTTACTTCTCCTAACACTGTGCCTCATTGAAACCCCCTAACTTTTACTTCCTGTTACACAGGCTGAATCAGAGAGCTTTGAAACTCCCTGATTCAACTCCTTTTCAACAAATGAAGTTAAAAACACCCCTATCATCCCAGGTTAAGTGTTGTAGGACACAGCAGGAAACAGTTGGGAATTGCTGGCAACATGACAGCAGCTGGATTTTCTCCGAAGACTGTTCCAGACCATGCTGCATGCCTGGTAGACCGGGCTTCTTTCACTAATTATTTCCAATATAGCCTCTACTAATGGGTAATTAATTGTAGATTTTCACATTATACATTATCATTCTGTAAATGATTCCCATCAGGGTGACATAAATAAAAGTCTGTGTGGAACATGATTTCTTTTAAATATTCTGTGCATCTAGTAAGTCTACAGGAAAGCCCCTCCCCTTTTGTTGAGGCTAAGAACCTGAAAATTATAGAGGTCTTGTTATAAGCACTTTGCAGCATGCCCTTACTGTGAAATGTATTTGAAAAAATTGTCAAGTAAAACTGGCACATCTGTGCTAATGCTTGTGCTTAAGTCATGGATAGTATCTTTCTCTGAAGACATGAAAAATTAAAAAGTTTCATATCTAGGAATATGAACCACTTTCCTCTCTGCTGTAATACTGACTTGACAATGATAAAGCCTTCAATTTGTAAATATTTGGAGACCCTTTAATTATTAAGGGCTGCTTTTCACCTAAGAAACTCATACTCTTGCTACTGTATATTCTAAAATAAAACAGGAAATCTTACATTAACCCACAGTAGCTCTTATTAATAGAACATATCATTAACAAATATTTATCATAGACAGGTAACCACAATTCTACTGTCTACTTAGACAAGGAAATGACATAGTGTTTAAAAAATACCGCTTCAGTTTAGGGCTGATTAAACCCCCATGTCATGCACACAACCCACTGACTTACCTGCCTCTCTGGTGGGGAGGGGAGGGTGAGCTGCCAGCGGGAGGAGTGGTCCCTGGGCTGCAGATGGGGGGCAGTGCTTACCTCCATGGCAGCAATGCAATGCCCCACCCCAAGGCGGCACCAACCTGCACGCACCTGGCTCAGGCAGTCCTGGGGGGCACTGTAGCCACGGAGGGAAGCACCAGGCCCCCACACAGCTCAGGCAGGAAAGCAGGCTCTGGGGAGGGGTGTGGGGGGGGAACATCAGGCTCGCCACTTTTCTTGGGTGGAGCCTGCTTTCCTGGGCTGCTTCCAGGCTGCCTGCAGGGCTTCCTGCAGAGCCATGGAGCTGCATGCGGTGCTTTGCTCCGCAGCTGTAGGGGCAGCAAACTAAAATTCCCTCAAAGGAGTTTTAGTCTGCTGAGCCTTAAGTCATTTAAGGCACATTACAGCACCGAATTTCCTACAGCGGACGGAATTAATGCACAATAGGCCATCGAGGAGTGCAAACACCAGCACCATTAAAGTCATGCAAAAGCATTTAGCCTGCTTTAAAGTGTCGTGCACACTTGCCTCTCATTCCATCTACACATGACCATAGGTATCTTTATACTGATTTGCAATTCTCCATTTATAGTAGCAACTGCTATAGTTCTTCACTATACTCATTTTGAACCCCCATATAGCTATTAGCTGTAGCTCATAACTAGCGTGACACTAGAATGGACAATCACCTTTATGATTAACTGGCAGAAAAATGTGGGAATGCATGAACATTGACATGTGTGCCTCTCTCAAATCAATGTTATCATCTATTTTGTTTTCTAATCATTTACCAAAAAAACAGAGAGAGAAAGAAAGAAAACAACTTCTACACATCTCAAATATAAACACAATTCCAGGGCAACCATATCTAGTATAAAGAAACTCAGCCCGCTATACAGAAAGTTAAAAGTGAAGCAATTAAAGACCATATTTAGCTCTGTGGCAATATTACATCCCCCCACCAAGCCTTTTTTTTTTCCTTTTATTCCTGACGTATCTTTAGTACCTGGCTTTTCCATTTCTGAAAAGACAAAGATGACAAACCTTGCTATCAATTTCACTGCTCCCCAGAGCAGATTGAATCACGTACAGCAATGCATCAGTAAGTCCGTCACACTCCCTCATTCTCCTGCGGGCCTCCTCTCCAGCAGAGCTGACATTCCTGTAAGACAACGGTAAGGGTCACTATCTTCCCAACTTTACCATTCATATTCTGTAGCAAAACAGTTTCATAATTAATACTAGTTTGAAACAATTTTGTTATTTTGTTCTTACACTGTCTACCTCACCAATTCAGACTTATGAGTAATAGGGAAGGGTCTGAAGAGCACAGGAAACATAACAAAGAGGGGACCAAACTGGAATCAGCAGATCATTGCAGAAAATTTTATAGCTGGGAGAACATCTAAGTCTCCTAAAATTTGCAGGATTGTTTTCTCTCATGAGAGTAGGAGGTATTTCATTTTATTTTGCAGAAAAGTGGTTTAAAACATTTTTTTAAATAAAAATTGAGCTGAGAAGTTTAAAGGTTTCACAACCCCGCAGAAGTGTCTGTTCAGAGTTGAGCACTGCATCAGTAGTTTGGGCTCTTAGTCCTCCTGAACAGTGTAACCCAGAAGAAAAAACACCATCAAAGTGCAATATTTTCCTGGCATCTCTCAGGTATGGTAATGCTCATCTACTTTTTTCATTTCACAGGAGTGTTTTGCTACTTTTGCTCTCATTTTGAGAGAACATTAATGCAGCCATCTTCTCCTTGGGCAATTGTTCACTGACAAGCTGTTTTCTACTGAGAAATTTAAAACATGAACTCATTATAATAATTTGTATTTATTAGGTACTTCAGCCTGAAGGCTTTCTGAACATATTAACAAAAATATAACTAAAACAAAACTTACCAAATAGCATCATGCCTTAATGCACAGACAAATCTTAGTATTTTAAACACAAATTAGCATAACATATGTATATGCACATATACAAAAATATATTCTTACCAATGTCACCTGACAAGAAATTTGGATTTGTACCAATCTGCATAAACTGGAACCTGGTAGGGATCATAATCATGAGGCAGGAGCTTTTATGTCTTTTCCTTTGGTATGGGTAGGAATTCCAGTGCTGCAGTGCTACCTACCACCCCTCTCCCACTAGTTCCCTGCCATGCCATCTCATCTCAAGTACCTTCACTTGAATTAAGTGCAGAGAAGGTTGGATGAGATGACCCTTCCAATTTTATGATGTAAAAGCTGAGATTCCTCTCCTAGTCCTATGACTGTAGGGAGAGGGAGGACATACCAGCAGCTATGTTTTGAAACTGGGATGTACATTGCCATATGCAGCAGCTCTGACTGGTTGACTTCCTCAGGAGGTCATGAGAAGCAGGCACTGAGAGGATTTTTTCCTCAGAGCCCAGTAGAAGGGTCTAAAAGTCCATGGAGAAAACTCAATAGACATGGCAGAGCTGAGAATATACACACACAAATGAAAGAAAATAAAAATGCCCATATTCTGTCCTGAAAGAATGCCAGACATGAACTCAGTGTGTATGAAGTGGAAAAGAGGCCTCCTATCACTTCTTGAAATTATATCACAGAAACACCAAAGCTTCCAACATCATCAATTATAGATAATTAGGACAATTGCTCCTATAGGCTGGCCCTGTATTATTTAAGACAGGCTCTCAAATCTTCTCTAGGCATGAAACAACTTAATGGGAAGTATGGTATAACTCCTGATCACTTTTCCTCTCAAAACCATAATCATATAACTTCTCGGTGACAGGTTTAGCAATTTCATGCTTTTGAAATGGTGATATCAGTGAAAACTCCATTTCATCCCTCTTTTCCGTGTCTTTTAATAAATCCAGGAGAGCTTACAAATAGTATTTGACATGATTCTGAATAACTTCTTAAACAAAGCTAGATGGCTGTAAACATGCTGGTGCACTTTCTCCAAACTTCCCTATTTACTGATGTTACTTCACTGTAAGCCTTAATAGAGCTCATGCGCTTTTATATTTCAGAAGGCAGGTACAAACACATCCTCCTTTGATCTTATCTCAGAGATGATATCTTAGTTCCTCTGGCAGAACTGACCTCAAATGTATGTATCACCTCGTCTCTCCAGAGCCTGAAGACACTAGCAGATTCTTAATTCTCCTGCAAACTCTCCAGAAACTCCTCAACAAAACAGTCCCAAGATCCCTAGATCCAACAGCAATTCCAGACCTTGAGCTGAGAACTGACTGCCTCTGGTTTATAGAACATAAGCATCTGCAGACTGTATCCAAAGGGGCACAGACACTGGAATCTAGCCTTCATGCATTGTCGAGTCTTGTATCAAACAGGTGTTGAGTCCACAGAGCACTTTCCAACTCCTGTGATTACCACCTTTTTCTGCCATGCTCCAGTCAGCTCAGAAATCAAATGGTGAATGTAAGGAAACTGTAAAATTGTACTCCCTCACTGGAAACCCTCTGTGCACCTTCAGGAACTAAACATGTCTTATAACTATCATCCCCATCCCCTGTATACCTCTGGGATCTTGTAAGTAATTATGTTACCCTGTATATGTTCAGAAATACAGAGGATTCATTAAAACTCACAATTTCCATCTTCTGTGTGTGCATCACACCAAAAGTTGAATAGTATTTAAATGATTTATTAGAGGTCTGTGAAACAGGCCATATTCGATTCAGATTCAGCCTGAATCAGGGACAGCGATTTGATTTGTTGATTTGGATCGCTGTCTCTGATTCAATTTGGCTGAATCTGAAGGTTCAATGTTAATTCAGAGAATCAGTGATTCAGCCACAGACACAGTTTTAAATGTTTTTTCTACATACCTCAAGGTACCAGCCATGGCTCGTGAATGCTTCAATGGTGGGGCGGATGGAGCATCCCACAGGAGCATTGGGGGGGAGGGGGAGGGCGTGTGCTTGGTGGTGAACCTGGAAGTGGACTAGAAGCATTCCCGGTCCACTTGCAGGTCCACCAGGGAGCATGCTTGGGGGCCTCCCCATGCCCCTCTGGCTTCACGATCAGCTGCGGGGGGACCCCAGGTGTCCTCCCAGACCCAGGAGGCACCAGTTGCTGAGCTGGGGGAGTGGGGGTGGGCCCCAGCATGCTCCCTGGTGGACCCGGAAGTGGACCGGAAGTGCTTCTGATTCACTTCTAGGTCTGCTGCTAAGTGCACTGGGGATCCCCCCTCATGCTCCTGTGGAATGCGTCATCTGCCCCACCATCACAGCATTCATGAGCCATGCCTGGTACCTTGAGGTATGTAGAAAAAATATTTAAAGCTGTGTCTATGGCCGAATCTCCGAATCTTTCTGGATCTCTCCGAATTGATTTGGAGAGATTAAAGGTCTCCTAATTCGATTCAGAGATTTGGCCACTGAATCGAGCTGAATCAAATCAGGGACCGAAGCTTTGTGCAGACCTTCTATGGTTAGCTGTCAGCAAATATTTTATTTATTTAGATCACAAATGATTAAACAAATGTCAATCCAAACCTCTAAGCACCCGAGGTATCAACAACAACACAATTAAAGCACAGCAACATTAAAGAAATCATCAACCAACCTATTTTCCAAGCATTTCTCATTTTATGGAGCACATGCTCAGCCTGCTTTGAGACTCCAATCCTGCAGATGTCTTTTCAGCATGCATAGAATATCACCAAATTCAAACTATTTTAACTCACTGTGCGAGTGGGAGTGAAAGTCTCAGAGCTCTCACTGAGAACACTGTACCAGATTCTTGTTCCCATTTATGAGAGGTAACCAGACTGAGTGCCCCTTTTTGACAGTGGTTGTGGCATGGGGAAAGAGGCGATTGATTCATCAGGCAGACCATTTAGATCATATTTATTGGTCAGGATAAAAACAAAGCGTCGCTGGTCCTGGTGAGGTGTGCTGCTCAGCAAGCAAACTGGTATACAGTAGAACCCTGTTTTACGCATATTCGACTTACCTGAGTCTTACGTTTACGCAAATTAATATTAGCACCCAAGCAGAAAAATACACCCCGAGATGCGTATTATTCACCTATATACGCAAGATGCGCAGACTGAGTCAAATGGAGTTACGTGTAGCTTGGGTTGCCAAGCAGGATTCTGGATTCAGGATTCAGCCTCAGTGTTGCCACTGTGTTCAAGATGAATGCTTCTAACACTGATTCTACAAGTGCTTCTGCCTCTATGAGGAAAAGGAAAGCTATAACTTTGGAAGAAAAATTTGATGTTGTGAAGAGATACAAAAGAGGTGAGAAGACAAAGGAAATTAGGTGTGCTACAGTGCTCAGGGAGTCAACTGCCTGTAGAACCAGGGACAATGCGGAGAAAATTAAGGAGCCCTGTAACAGTGCTACACATTTATCTACTACCTGTGTTTCATTAAAAAGGTTGGCCATCATGGAGAAAATGGAATGCATGTTGACAACATGGACTGAGCACCAGAATCAAGAACACATGCCGCTTTTGACCCAGGTGATTCAAGCAAAAGCACACAGCATTTATGAAGTGTTAAACTGTGATGATTGTGAAGCTAAGCCATTTAAAGCAAGTGCTGGATGGTTTGATAGATTTCATAATTTCAGACTAAGGGGAGAAGCAGCAGCTGTTGATAAAGGTGCTGCCCATAAATTTCCTTCAATCCTACTGGCTTCCATTGAGAAGGGAAGCTACAATCCGAGGCAAGTTTTCAACTTGGACGAAACCGGACTCTTCTGGAAATGGATGCCGAGTTGCACATTTATCTCTGTCAAGGAGAGAACCACCCCAGGGTTCAAGGCCGCGAAGGATCACTGCTCAGAGAGAATGCAGCTGGCAACTTCAAGCTCAAACCATTGATGGTTTACCACTCTGAAATCCCTAGGGCGCTTAAGGTTTATGCAAAGGGGTACCTGCCTATTTATTGGAGAGCCAACCAGAAAGGACGGGTTACTGGATCATTGTTTGAAGATTATTTTTCCAGTCTGCTGCATTTGGAATTGAGGGCTTATTGTGACAGGCAAAATCTGCCTTTCAAAATTCTACTGCTTCTTTATAATGCTCCAGGACACCCCCCCAAGCTTTAGTGACCTCAGTAAGAACATTAAGGTGCTGGTCTTGCCACCGAATACAACGTCGCACATCCAGCCCATGGATCAGGGTGCTATT